GCATCAGAATGACGCAGCAGATTTGTTGCCATAAAAGACCACCACTGAAGAGCCTGTGTGTGCACACCCACACGGGAGTACTGAGGTCATCAACAAGGGGCCCACGGGACGCCGTGGGATCCAGCGGCGACTGTTCCTGCTTTTCTCTTGATTATTTCTCCTTCTTTTCTCGCTCTTCTCTCCCTGTTTCTCCTCTCTTTCTCAGCCCTTATGCCAGATGGTTATCATTAAGGAGCTGTGACCCATAAAAAGTGCAGCTTTGGTTTACCGTTACCATGCCTCAACTGTGCTTTGTACAAACTTAAGGATCTCAGGTCTGTTCTCTGTTTTTTATTGGTCAGGGAGGCGTTTTTCTATCTGCTGGTGGGGAGAACTCAGCATGGAAACTACAGGCGGGCTCCGAGTGAGGCTGACTACACTGCGTTAACTCGGGGTTGCCGCCGAGGGCCAAGGGCCGGGCGACCATTGAAGCTCTGTGTTAAACTACAGGCAGGCCCCAGGTGGGGCTGAGTGCACTGCGTTACCAGAAACTGAACCGGAGCCTGGCACGCGGCGACGGCCAAGACATGGCTGGGAGGTGACAGAGGGGCCTTGGTCTGCCGGGGGCAGTAACAGGACAGGGAGGTAAAAGAAGGGCCCTGCTTTCCCCGGGGCAGTGACAGGGCCGGGAGGTGGCAGAGGGAACCTGGTCCCCTCAGGGCAGGGCAGTGATAGGGCCGGGAGGTAACAGAGGGGCCCTGGTACCCCCCGGGGGAGGGCAGGTTTTAACAGGCACAGACAAGAGCTGTTGGAATGGGAATCAACAGCAAAGTCACAGTAATAAAAGCTTTGTCAGGCTGTTAGCTGCCATTTTAATACTGTCAGGAGTGTGGATCCACCTAGGGAGAACCCCAAATCTTGGAGTTCCCTTCCCCTCCCCGACTTCAGCTTTGTGCCCGCCCTACATCCCTCCTTTCATGCGTTTGTGTCCCCAAAATCCCTCTGTTTAGAAGCACCTTTAGTGCCTCCTAGATCACCCAACTGGGCTCTGTGGAGCTCCCCTGGTGCCTCTCATGGCAGGTTTTGTGCCCCTTCTCAACACATCCCTCCATTACAAATTCTTTCCCCACCAGACACCTTCATTCAACATTCGCCCTTTGGGAGCAGAGGCACCTACAGCCTGGTTTGGATAAAGGCAAAATCGATGGGGTGGAGAAGGCCGCAAACCTCAGGCTCAGGAGCAAACAGGAGCTCAAGCTCCGCTTTCCCCACCCCAGCCACAGAAGGACCAAATGGTGGAAGGCACCTCTGGAGATGTTCCCATGAGATCATGCCTCATGAAGCTTCTCCAGGAAAGGGCTTTACCTGCAGCCTGTGCAGCCAGAGAGTTCCTGTGTACCCAAAGTGTTGAGGGCTGCATATAGGAAGAAGGGGTAACCCAGAGGGCCCCCGCTTGCCTCTACACCCGTCGCTAAGAGTCACCAAACAGGAGATGGAAATGAAAAGACAGGATACAAAGAAAATTTTATTTGTAAGGTTCCCACCTTGGGAGCTGGTGGGTTGGGGGCCTGGTGGGTGAAGACCCCAGTACTTGCATTTTATTTCAAACCTACCAGTGGAATGCTGCTGCACAAGTGAGCTGTTAAGCATCATCATCAAGCTTCATGGATGGCTAACTGAGAGAAGAACCAAAAGAAACAAATCGACATACTTCTTTTTTTTAAGCTTCTTGTCTGCCTCATGCTGCTGATTAAGAAAGCATGTAGTAAGCAGGTTAAGTTGTAAAAAGAATGGACTTAAATGACACTAAAGCTACTGCTTTTTGGGTCTAGCATTGGTTCATGCAGCACTAGAGACATCAGAGAAACTGTGTGAGGAATTATATATGTCATTTCTGAGTTGTCCCCTCTAAAGCCTTCTGCAGAACGCGTTCAGCATCATCAGCTGCATCAGAGAGAAAATTCTTCAACATAAGGTATGTGCAGGGGAAAGAAATTCCTGCAGACACCATGGAGCCAATCACTGGCAACAATGCAAAAACATTTTTCATGAGAAGCAGAGAATATTTTGCACCACTTCCCAAGCTCTTGGTCAACAGCTTAATTACAAGATCCTTGGATATTTCATCGAGCAGGGGGGACTTTATGACAGCCTTCAGCTCCTCCACAGGCTTGTTTACCTGCCTTGCTAGTTTCTGCAGGGATTCCTCAGCCAGGCCTAAGACCCGGCAATACTCTTGAAGGGATCTCACCAGGACTGCAACATCAACACCAAAAGAGAGACCAGGGACGGGAAGAGCAGCACCTCCAGCTGACGCTAGACTTTTCAGCAAGACATCCTTCATCAACTCATTCTTCTTCTTCCTCAGCACCTCCTTAGAATTATTGGCCAGGGCCCGTAGGAAGGTGAGTTTCTTCTCACTTGGCAGATCCTCCAGGAAGGTTTGCAACAGTCTGGGACCATCAAACTTGAAGCTAAAACCATCCCTGCAGACAAGAAAGACTCGAGGGGAGCTTATACTCAGACGTTCCAGGTTCTTTTCACAGTCCTGCCTGATCTTATACAGAATAGCCCTCTCATCATACTGCTGTGGCCGGCTCCCAGTAGCTTCATTCTCTTTAACCTTCAGGATTCCCTCCTCATCGTAGAATCTTCGCTCATTGCTCACATCCTGATCCACCTTGGAGCTCACAAAGTAGAAACGCTTCCCCTGAGCCTGAATGGCCTTTGCAAGAATGGCTGCATTGTGTGAGAAGCGGCCAGAGGAGATGATGATGAAGAAGTCCTAGCGGTTGAAATTCACCTTCTGAAGGTAGGTGTCTGGTGTGAAATTGGGAGTTCCAATGCCAGGCAGGTCCCAGAAGGTCACATTAGAATAATCAGGGTGAATATAAGGGGTGCATATAAATGTTGTCTCCGTCACTCCTGTCTCAGCTGCACCCTGCTCATGGTCCTCCAGGCTACGCACAGCATTGATGAAAGAAGATTTTCCAACACCTGAGTCCCCTGTTACGGCGATGTGGAGCTGGATCTTTTCTTTCTCATCTAGGATCTCCTGTGCCTTTGCAGCTGCTGCTGCGAGGTCTCCTTTCTCAGCTGCAGCCTTTATCACATCCATGTCTTCTTCAGAAATGTGGGGGAAGGAACTCTCCTTCCAAGTCTGCGTCAGCGCTGGCCATTTTATCTGCAGTGAGTGTGGGTGCAGAGAGCCTGGAAGAAGAGCACAATCTTTCACTTTCGGTTTGCAGCAGCAGAACGAGGAACTCAGCACAAGGCTGAGCCACAGGCAGAGCCAGGGCACCCAAGCGACCTGTCCCCACCTCAGCCTCTTGCAGCCCCGGAGACCCACTAGCCAAGTCCCTGGAGTGACCCTGCAGGAAGCCAAAGCGCTTCGTGCCCTGGTAACCAGCTGGCGGAGCGGCTAGCACGGGCTCTGCGAGCTACGACAGCTGTTCCCAGAAACCTTGTGGATCTTATCCCTCCTCCTGCCCCAGGGGAGCATGCAGGAAAGCACCGATCCAAGACAACATCACAGTTCTGTTGTGCCGCCAGGAGGACACATGGACAGGTTGTACAAAAAGAAACGATGGTCCTCTGGAAGCACAAAGTGTCCCACAGAGAACAAAAGGAGCAGCCAGGGAGCAGCAGCAACAGCAAGAACAAATCCGAAA